AATGACACAGCCTTACTATATTGTCAGGCTGGTCTTGAACTCCTGGGCTCAAATGGATCCTCTTACTCCAGCCTCCTAGTGCTGGGATTATAGGCATGACCCACTGTGGCCTGGCCCTGAATTTTCAAAAATAGGTTTTTTTTTTTTTTTTTTTTTGAGAACAGAGTCTCGTTTGTTGCCCAGGCTGGAGGGAAGTGGCACAATCATAGCTCACTGCAGCCTTGAACTCTCAGGCTCAAATGATCCTTCTGCTTTAGCCTTCCAAGTAGCTAGGGCTATAGGTGTGCACCATTGTACTGTGCCCAGCTAATTTTTTTATTTTTATTTTTGTAATGACACAGCCTCACTATATTGCTCAGGCTGGTCTTGAACTCCTGGGCTCAAGTGGATCCTCTTACCTCAGCCTCCCTAGTGCTGGGATTATAGGCATGAACCACTGTGCCTGGCCCTGAATTTTCAAAATAGGTTTTTGTAACCCCTGCCCGTTTTATTCAGGAAGCAGCTGGGAGATGGGCTGATTTATTTCTGGGGGCAGCTGCATCGGATGACTGAACTGCTCTGTGGGCCAGGAGGTGATGTGGAAAGTAGACGATTTTTGAGAAGGCCATTTCAATGCTCAGTAATACCATAGAGCAATGAATGGTAGGGAATGAGAAAGGTTCACTGAATACCTTGACTAACAGCTCATTGTTGAGTAGCTTTTGTGCTATAAGGTGCACCACTGTCAGATTAAAAATGGTCCAGAAAGCGAACGTATAACTCAAATTAATTTCATGGGCCCTACTGTTGTGACTGGAGCCAGATGATTGGACTAGAACAGCAATCCCATAACTTGAAAAGTGTCAACATTGGTGAGGCACCACCAATAGCTCTGAGAGGGGGTCAAAAGTTCAACACAGTCAGTCTGTTAGGAGCATGAGGGAAATCCCTACGTGTGACATGTCCCCCTTCACCATGAGACAAGTGCGTCAAATGTTGGCAGGAGTCACAAGTTTGGCATGCAGTGGAGCCAGTGCCAAATCCTAATGCTTCTGCATTAGGAGCATGGAGTCCTTTCCTTTGTGCCCTGTGTGTAGTGGTGGGCGTGTTGCCGTGTCTGGTATAGGGATGGTGTGGGTAGCAGTGGTGGCAATCTGGATGATTCAGGCTCTATCAGCAGCTTGATTCCAATCATGGCCATCGGAGGATGGACCCTTATCGTCTCTATGTGAATTACCCAGATGGTTCAATCAGCAACCATAATTTATTTCCATAGTTTGCAGTCCCAATACGGGACTGCTTGTCTGTAGTTTTCCAAGTGGCAAACCAAACAGGTAGGCCATTGGCTAGCGTCTGTAAAAATACAACAGGTTTATCAAGAGGAGTATTGGCCACAGCCATGAGGAATGGCCTTTAGTTGTACCCACTGATCAGAGTGACTACATCCATGTTTGGTGTTTCACATCTCACACTGAGTTTGAAAGTCACAGGAGCCTAGCGAAGACTGCCGGGTTTCAGCTCAGCCGAACTGTCAGTGAGCCAGGCACAGGCATTTAGAGAAGTCCCCGTGAATTTAGGGTCCTCTTGAGCCAGTGGCTTTGCTTCCAGTGGCAAAGTGTTGAACGAAATTTTTCTCTAAAGGATAGCTACCCCTTTTCATGTAAAGCTGAGATGTTCCTGGGGCCAGATTAGCTGCCTTCTTGAATATACCATTTCTATTTCACAAATGAGGCTTGCTTGTTCCTTTTTAGTTTGTTAGTCGTTGAGTCCAAGTTGGCCCACCTCAACCTGGTTGTCAGGCTGGAGTCACAAGGCCTCCATGGGTCTAGTGTTCGGTTTCAACAAGAGCTCAGTAACAGCATAATAGCTGCTTTTCAGGAGCCATTTGCAGCTCCGCTGTCAAGATTATATGTTTTCAATTCTCATTCTGTTTGAACACAAGGGTTAGGGAAATTTTCCAGAGCTGCAGGTCTGACTGCAAGAATTTATCTAGAATTCACTGGGCCAGTTTCTCATTCTCCAGGGGATCACTTCCAACAGCATTATAAATCTAATCCTGGACAGAAAGAGCCTAAGTACTACTCAATGCCTCATTTATGATTTCTCTTGGGGGATTTTCTTTTTAACTTTAATTTTTTTCTTTTTTTGTTTAGAATGCTATTCCAGTGAATCTTGGGGGTTTTTCTGAAAACTTTACTTATAGCAGCCAGGATCCACTGCAAAAACAACAATCAAACTCAGACCTTTACTAACACCTCTGAACGGATAAGGTTGGCTTGATACACTGCAAGAGGGGCCGAGTGGGAAGATGTTCCCACTTCCGTTGCACTTCATTCTTAACTAGCAATAAGTGCTTTGCCCCCTCAAGTGACTCAGCCAAAGTTTCTGCTCCCTTATACATTCCCCTCTGTTCATACTCGGTGTGGGTATTTCTGTCTTCAACTGTTGTTTGTAAGGAGGTGAGACTTTTCCCCTCCTCTGGTACCAGGGTGAATCTTAGTCTACTTGTCACAGTGGGGGCTGGCCATCAGAGTTGCAGCCTGTCTCTCTTGCTCATAGGTGTGTTATCAAAACCCAGCAAATGTCTCTCAATTCACATCCCTGTACTTGTCCTGCAACTACCTCCCTAGTTTCTTCTCATTAACCGGTGATGAAGCGAAGGACCATTTATTGCCCAGTTGAAATGCAGAAGGTGTTAAAAAGACTTTATAAGCATGGAAAATTGTAGAGAGCCGTCAAAAGTACACAACAGGCCGGGCGCAGTGACTCACGCCTGTAATCCTAGCACTCTGGGAGGCCAAGGCGGGCAGATTGCTCGAGGTCAGGAGTTGGAAAGCCTGAGCAAGAGTGAGACCCAGTCTCTACTATAAATAGAAAGAAATTAATTGGCCAACTAATATATATAGAAAAAAAAAATTAGCCGGGCATGGTGGTGCATGCCTGTAGTCCCAGCTACTTGGGGGCTGAGGCAAAGGATTGCTTGAGCCCAGGAGTTTGAGTTGCTGTGAGCTAGGCTGATGGCACACCATTCCAGCCAGGGCAACAGAGTGGAGACTCTGTCTCAAAAAAAAAAAAAAAATCAATTGAGCCTGGGAATTCAAGGTTGCAGTGAGCTTTGATCACCACAGCACTGAAGCTGGGACAGAACAAGACACTGTCTCAAAAAAAAAATGTGCAGAAAGGAAACACCATAATCTTTACTTTTGACTCAAATTTTTTTTTTTTTTTTTTTTTTTTTGAGACACAGTCTTCTCTTGTTGCCCAGGCTAGAGTGCCATGGTATCAGCCTAGCTCACAGCAACCTCAACTCCTGGCTCAAGAGATCCTCCTGCCTCAGCCCTCCGAGTAGCTGGGACTACAGGCATGTGCCACTATGCCTAGCTAATTATATACATACATACATCATATATATATTTTAGTTGTCCAGCTAATTTCTTTCTATTTTTTTATAGAGATGGGTCTCGCTTTTGCTCAGGCCGTCTCAAACTCCTGAGCTCAAATGATCCACCTGCCTGGGCTCCCAAGGTGCTAGGATTAGAGGTGTGAGCCACCATACCCTGCGACTCAAATATTTGTCTACATATATCTTCCTGTATTACTTACTATATATAATATACACCACACATATAGTCATATGCCTATATTTAACATTAATAATAAAAGTGAACATATTTTATTTGGCTTTTAAAATTTGGCTTTCAAATTCTAAGAATGAAGAATACTTATGGTTCTGTGAACTATATTTTCAATTCTCTCATGCTGATATATATAATTTTCAAACCGTTTCTTCACTCTTTGAAATTTAGGTTGTTCCAGATATTTTTAAGGTAAATATGGGTAATGCTGTAACGATTATCGCCTCTCCAAAAGGCTTTCTGTTTCTAATTATATCTCATTTCTTAGCAATGTTGTTATTGTCCCAGAGTAACTCTATTTTCATTCTTTTCTAAATGATTGTACCAATTTGCAGTTTTATCAGCCAATGCTGTGAGGCTTTATTCCAACCTTCCTACCATCAAACATTCTTGTAATTAGTTGTATATAATGATCTCATTTGCTTACTTTTTGTATCTGATTATTAGGGATCAACTTTTAAAACAATTGTTTACATTTTTTTATTTCTCTTGGAATATCTCGCCTCTAAAAAGCAGAGAACTACTGTTTCACTTTATCCTGGGTCATGGGTTTCTAGAAGGTTCAGAAACACATTTTATTTTTACTGATAATGTGAGCCTTACCAGCAGTCTGGGACAGCTTTCCTATTCAGTCCACTAGGAAAGCATTGGAATCTTCCTATCTAATGAAGCTTTTTATAGAAAACAACTCTACCCAACCTTCTCAGAAACAAAGACAGGTGACAGAAGTTTCCCTCTTGGCACAACTCATGAAGTAGTTGGGGCCGGGCATGGTGGGTCAGGAGTTGGAAAGCCTGAGCAAGAGTGAGACCCAGGCTCTACTATAAATAGAAAGAAATTAATTGGCCACTAATATATATAGAAAAAAAAAATTAGCTGGGATGGTGGGCATGCGCTGTAGTCCAGCTTACTTGGGGGCTGAGGCAAGAGGATTGCTTGAGCCCAGGAGTTTGAGTGTGTGTGAGCTAGGCTGATGGCACACCATTCCAGCCAGGGCAACAGAGTGGAGATCTGTCTCAAAAAGAAAAAAAAAAAAAGTACACAACATGGGTCAAATGAAATGCCAAGCCCATATCATGGGCGTAGCTGCTCTACTACAGGGTAAACAGCATGGTTTAAATAAAATGATTAACATACAGTGAACAGAGATTCTGAGCACACCCTGCTCCAACCAGTGTTTGAAATTACTGTGTGTGTATATCAGCTTGACACAATGAGGATCAATCTCACTTAATATTTGCCTTCTCTTATGTGAAAATTGAGACACATTCTTTGAATTTGTGTGACGGAGCTCTTTCTTTTTTCTTAATCTAAATAATAGATGTTGCCTATTCTGCTCTTAAACGCAATGTTCATTTCATCTTTTTTTTGCCTCATGTCTAACAGAAGGGAGATGGAATGATAGATAAAGCTGAGCTGCGGGAAGCTTGTGAGCAGGCCGACCTGCATTTAGATGAGAAGCTCCTGGACCAGCTACTTGACTACTGTGATGTGGATAAAGACGGCCTGATTAACTTTCTAGAATTTGCAAATTTTCTTAACTGGAAAGACAAACTGCCTCTTAAAGAGTACGAAGAGAGGGCCATTATTAAAGGTATTTAATTAAAATTATAATTTTTTGCAAGTGCTAAATATTTTATTTATTTTTTAAGTTTTTTTTTTTTTTTTTAAAGGGGGGAGTAAAGAGGGAGGTTCAATTTCCATTTTTTTTTCCTTGAAACAGGGTCTTGTCCTGTCACCCTGGGTAGAGTGCAGGTGCATTCAGGCTAGCTGCACACAACAACCTCAAACTCCTGGGCACAAGTGATCCTCCTGCCTCAGCCTCCAGAGTAGCTGAGACTATAGGCACTCATCACCAGGCCTGGCTAATTTTTCTATGTTTAGTAGAGGGAGGGTTCACTCTCACTCAGGCTGGTCTTGAATTCCTGAGCCCAAGCAATCCTCCCATCTCAGCCTCCTAGAGTGTTAGGATTACCAGCGTGAGCCACTGTGCCCAGCCTGGGTTTGCTGGATTCTTAAATGGACTTTTATATTTTAATATTTATAGGATTGCTCAACTCTTGTAAACTTTTTTTTTTTTTGGAGACAGAGTCTCACTTTGTTGCCCATGCTCAAGTGCCATGACTGTCGCCTTAGCTCACAGCAACCTCAAACTCCTGGGCTCAAGCAATCCTTGCCTCAGCTCCCGAGTAGCTGGGACTACAGGCATGCGCCACCATGCCGGCTAATTATATATATTATACTATAGATATATATATATATATATATACCACACACATATATAAGTTGTCAGCTAATTTCTTTCTATTTTTTAGTAGAGATGGGGTCTCACTCTTGCTCAGGCTCGTCTTGGACTCTGACCTCCGAACGATCCTCCCATCTAGCCTCCTAGAATGCTGGAATTACAGGCGTGAGCCATCGTGCTCAGCCAACTCTTGTAAACTTTAATGTTATATAAAAAGAAAAAAAATTCACATACATACATAGTTATTTATTTGCTTGTTTATGCATAAATATCTGTATAAAGTTAGGAAAGAATCTGATAATATTACTATTTCCAGAGAGAAGCAACTGGGTGACTGAGAGACAGGGAGGCATTGAGACTTACTTTTTAATCTATGTTTTTGCATCTTTTGAGTTTGGAACCATGGCATTATTAAAAGAAAGTATTTACATAGGAGCTGAAAATATGAAAGACATTTCCTCAGAAACTGTTTGAAAACCATTATGTGTAGTAATTGAAGTCTCCCTTCTCCAGGATAGTCAATAGTAAAATACAATCTGGACATAAGAAAATTTGTTAAAAAATTTTGTACAAAAAGGAGTCTACCTACGCACTCTGGAAGGCGCCAATGGCGGCGGATCTTTGGCTCAGGAGTTGAGATACCTGAGCAACGAGCGAGACCTGTCTTACCAAAAATAGAAGAAATAGCCACGGCATGCGTGGTGTCTGACCTGTATCCAGGTACTCAGGTACCTGAGGCACAGGATCGTTGAGCACAGGATTTGAGGTTCTGTGACGGCTGACCACAGCACGTAGCCCAGGCAACAGAAAGTGGATCTGCTTTAAAAAACAAAAAAAGAGGAGTCTGACACAGTGGCTACTCTGTAATCCCAGGAATTTGAGTCCGAGATGGGAGATCACTTGAAGCCAGGAGTGAGACCAGCTACAAAATGATACCATCCCAAAACACATAAATATCCAGGCATGTTGTGTTCTCAGCTTGGCGCTGAGCAGGAGGTCAAGCCTGGGATTCAGTCGCGCTGACTTCGATCATCACACAGCACTGAAGCTGGACACAACACAGAACGTCTAAAACAAACATGGCAGAAGAAAACACCATTCTTTACTTTTGACCAAATTTTTTTTTTTTTTTTTTTTTTTTTGGAGACACGTCTTCTCGTTCCAGGTGAGTGCATGTCACTACTAGCTCACAGCAACTCAAATCTGGCTCAAGATCTCTGCTCAGCTCCAGAGTCTGGGACTACAGGCATGTGCCACTATGCCTCAGCTCATATTGTACATACATACATCACATATTATTCAGTTGTCCACTAACTTTACTTTTTTTTTTTCCCTAAATTTTTTACTACGCAGATGGGTCTCCTTTTGCTCAGGCCCGTCTCAAACTCCTGCAGTCCAAATGACCACCTGCCTGGTCAGAGTTAGGATTAGGTGTGAGAATACTGCGACTCAAATATTTGGCTACATATTAATTCCATTCTCCTGTAATTACTTACTAATATAAATTACACACACATATATCATTTCCTTATTTTAAACATTAATAATAAAAGCTGAACATAATTTTTATTTGGCTTTTTAAATTTGCTTTCAAATTTTAGACATGAAGAATCATTTTTGTTCCTGTGAATATATTTTCAATTCTCTCATGCCTGATAATCAGTAATTTTCAAACCGTTTCCTTCACTCTTTGAAATTTAGGCTTGTTCAGAATTTTTAAGGATAATGGGTAATGTGAACGATTATGCGTCCTTCTCAAAAGCTTTCTGTTTCTAATTATATCTCCATTTTTTAGAATGTTTGTATATTGTCCCAGAGTAACTCTATTTTCATTTTCTTTCTTAAATGATTGCACCAAATTTCAGTTTTATCAGCAATGCTGCTGAGCTTTATTCCAACCTTGCCCTTTTACCCATCAACAATTCTTGAATAGTTGTATGATTACATGAGTACCTCATTGCTTTACTTTTTATCTTGATTATTAGAGGATCAATTTTAAAACAATTGTTACATTTTTTTATTTCTCTTGGAATATCTCGCTCTAAAAGCAGAGATACTACTGTTTTCACTTTATTCCTGGGTCATGGGTTTAAAGACAGTCAGAAAACATTTTATTTTTACTGATAATGTGAGCCTTACCAGCAGGTCTGGAGACAGCTTTCTATCAGTCCACTCAGCGAACATTGGAACTTCTCTATCTAATGACAGCTTTTTATAGAAACACAATCACCCCAACCTTCTCAGAAACAAAGACAGGTGACGATATAGTTTCCCTCACTTGGCACAGACTCATGAAGTAGTTTGGGGCGGGCATGGTGGCTCACGCCTGTAATCCTAGCACTCTGGGACCGAGGCAAGCGTCTTGAGGTCAGTGAGTTCGAACCACTGCACAAGAACGAGAACCCCCTTCTAACTATAAATACGGAAAGAATTTAATTGGCCAACTAATATATATACTAAATTAGCCGGCATGGTGGCGCATGCCTGTAGTCCCGGCTATCGGCGAGCCTGCAGGCAGGAGGTTGCTGGCCCAGGAGTTTGAAGGTTCTGGAGGTAGCTGATGGACACCATTCAGCCAGGGCAACAGAGTGAGACCTGTCTCAAAAACAAAAAAAAAGAAAAAAGAAGTAGTGGGGGAAAGCAGGAGCATATTTTAAAACCAGATAGTTCCCTTCAACATTGTCCTTGTTTCTGATCTGACTCCTCCGCTCCTTCTTCAATGGAGTTCTTTGAGGATCTTTTTACTCTTCTAAGATTTAGGATAGAAACGCAGTTAGTGCCAGTAGGTCCTAGAAGCGGGACCTGAATGCTGCCAGTTTCGCAAGGTAACAGAGTCTCCGCTTTGTTGCCCAGGCTAATGAGTGAGTTGCCATGGTCACCAGCCACAAACAACCTATGACTCCTGGCTCAACATCCTCCTGCTCAGCCCGAGTAGCTGGGACTACAGGCATGCGCCACCCATACCCGGCTAATTTTTCTATATTATTATTGGCCATTATTTCTTTCATTATAGTAAGACGGGGTCGCTCTTGCAGCGCGGTTTTCGAACCCTGACCTGGAGCAATCGCCCGACTCGCCTCCCCAAGTGTGCTAGGATTACAGGGGTGAGCACTGCGCTGGCCTGCCAGAATTCTTTCTTTCTTTTTCTTTTTTCTTTTTTTTTTCCCTGTCAAGGAACTCTCTTATATCAAATTCAGTCTACTGTTGACTTTGAGGAAAGAGGGTAAATACTCTTCAGTTTTCTGAGAAACGTTTTTTAACTTGTCCAGATTTCTCTGAGAAGGTGTGATTAAAGGATCTGAGTTGGGCTCGAAGCACTTCATGCACGATGGCAGGATTTGAGGAGGAGGCTGGATTCAAACGCGGAGCTGTCTTTTTCTGCTGGCACAGTTCACTTGTCTCAAATGGGCTGCATTCTTTGTAACCCTGGCTTGGTCACAGAACTTTGCGCATCTTGAAGCCGACACGCACGCACCTCTAGTGTATTTGGAGTAAAGATCTGAAAAAGCTATGCCAGGAATTACTCCCCAAAATTACAACGCTCAGCCAGCATCACAAAAACGGACGCTCTACAGTTTTCATTCTAGGGTTTTTCATACATTTTGGCTGTTATACTACCATCATTTGAAGTCTCAGTGGTTCTCATCATCCTGGAAGTGCATACATGACTCCCCATCATCTCATAGTATCGTTGCATTCATCAAATTTTTCTCTCAGGCAGTGCTAGAATCAACTCTTTATTCAAGTTACAATATGAACAATAAACCCTACATTTAAAATAAAGGAAAGGAACACAATGGTTCTCCTCATTTCTGTATTCTGGTCTTCACCTTTCGAACAGCTTTATTCTGAAGTGAGTGGAGTGGCAAAAAGAAACATAGCCGTGTTCAGATGTCCTGGTGTATACAGGTTGAACTTGCCATTCCACAGTTGGTGTTGCATCTTGGCGGGTACAATCAGTTCCACTAGCAAGAAGAGATAAAGGGAGAAATCCTGTCAGAGGGCAAGCACCGAGTAGTAAAATGTCTCCTGTACTACTATATACATACCCTTACATAATAAGTAAAGAAAACATGAATGTCAACAACTGCTGAGCATATGACAGAATCTTGAACAACATCACATAATGAAATAATTGATAAATATACAACAGACAAGATAAGACTCTGACACTTCGAGACCAGTGATTAAAGTTTTGATGAAGTATAGAGAGACAATGCAGTTGTGGGACAGTGCCTCTATTTGTGAGTATGACACATTATTAAATGAATTTTAAAAGGATCAGCAAACCCTAGAAGTTTGAATGTCTTGTCTGCTTTGAATTGCCCCTGCCTCTCTCTATTAGGCTG